GTGTGTGTGTGTGTGTGTGTGTGTGTGTGTGTGTGTGTGTGTGTGTGTGTGTGTGTGTGTGTCGTGTCCAGTCAGCTGCTGTCTGCCGTCCTGCTGCTGCTGCGTCTGTGGGAAAGCGGCACCAGAGAGATGGACAACGAGCGCTCCACCCAGGGAACCAGCGCCCCTCTGCTGCCCCTCCTGCAGCGCTTCCACAACATCCACAGCAGCAAGGAGGAGCCCATTCCTGAGGAGGAGGCTGAGGTGAGGCTGCTCTTCTAGTTTGACACCAGATGAATATGAGAGATGGAACAAACTGAAGATATGACGATGAGCTCGTTGTGTTTCTTGTGAACGCTCTTCTTAAAGCTAACGAGCACTTCTTTGGTCGATTGCTGTGGTTTCCAGATCCTCACGGCCCAGATGAGTCCCAACGAGAGCTTCCTGCGCTACCTGACCTTACCTCAGGACAACGAGCTGGCCATCGACCTCCGGCAGACGGCCGTGGTGATCATGGCTCACCTGGACCGCTTGGCTTCTCCCTGCAGCCCCCCCCACTGCAACTCCCCCACATCGCACAAGGTGACGACTCTTTATCGCCTGGAGACTAGTGGTTGTCTTATTGCCGGAGGTCCATGATGATGATCCCAACCTTAACTAATGATGTGTCCATTTTATTGTCTTTGTGTTGCAGGGAACCCTGCAGGAGGTGATAGCCTGGGGCCTGTTGGGCTGGAAGCTCTACGCCAACGTTAACGGGCCCATCCATTGTAAAGGCCTGTCGAGCCTCGGAGTTGCTCAGATCGTCTGCTCAGAGAAGGGCTTCCTCATCCTGTCCAGCAGCGGTGCTGTTTACACCCAGAACTACAAGAGCACAACCCTGGTCAGTTCTGTCGCGCAGGTGGTTTCTGTTTATTAACGTACCTTCATCTAACGAAGCGGCTGTATTCAGAACATCCCAAAAGCTGCTGCTTTCACCTCCGTGTCCGCTGCAGATTGAGTGTCTGTGTCGTGTTGTTTTAGGCTCCGATGCTGATCCACGGTCTGAGCTCCAGAAAGGTGGTGAAGCTCGCGGCTCATCCCGACGGGCAGCACTACTTGGCCCTGTCGTCCAATGGGGAGGTGTTCTCGTGGGGCTGCGGTGACGGAGGACGCCTTGGACACGGAGACACCACGTAAGCAAATAAGAGAGGAAGTCAGCTGATGTTTGACTTCCACAAGAGTCTCCTCACACACCTACTTAAGTCCACACTTTTACACCTTCCTCCAATATGAAATATGAAGCGATATGACAGCTCTCCAGACTTCTGCATTTGTGTCTTTCACAAAAGCTGCAGATGGTTTTAGAATTTAGTAGAATTAAATTATTGATCAAACAGATTCAAGGCCCAACGATACGATGCTGAAGTCACAATACGATAATATTGTGATTGTAAACATTTTGCGAGATCAAATATTGTGAATTAAAAGATATTTTAATTTGCAAATTATGCAGTTTGTCAACATTTGTTTTATCCAACCGGTTCATCTCACATTAGTCTGTTTCTAATCGGCCTAAAGCCAATAAACCTCTTCATTATTATATTTAATGCTGTATAATAATGTTCTTAGAGCTCGTGTTAGGAAGTTAAACAGCTCATAATTCATCTCTAATATCTATTTTATATTCATGTGAAAACATCTCCTTCAAACTACTGGATTTATTCAAATTTATCACCAAAACTACATTTTACAGATGACTTGTGAACACATCATGATAACGTTATAATGTACCTTCAGCCAGTACTCTTGTTCACTGAGCAGAGCCTGAAGGCATCATCATGTAACTCAATGGAACCTCAGTACAGCTCTTCTTTGTACTTTCTAACAGCTGTTAATGTCAACACGTTATTTGCGTTATCAGAGAAGTGAGCAGATAATTATACATTATATTTTAGGCCACAATCTAAGACATTGTGTTATAAACATTATGCTGTAACACCTAAAACGACCTCCACAGTTTTCAATTCCTGCAAGAATGAAAACATTAATCTGCATGTTCACTTTATTTTTAGGTATCTGGAAGAGCCCACGATGATCACAGCCTTCAATGGGAAACAGACAGGAAAGCATGTGGCGCACATTGCCTGTGGGAGCACTTACAGCGCCGCCATCACCGCCGACGGGGAGCTCTACACGTGGGGCAGAGGGAACTACGGGCGGCTGGGTCACGGTGAGCTCCGTCTGCATCGACCTCACTGGAGGACACGGCCTCCGCTCGGATAAACACAATCTCTTGTCTTGCTTTCACCACTGAGAGAAAGCGTTGTCCTCCCGCTTCTAGGCTCCAGCGAGGACCAGACGACACCCATGCTAGTGACGGCACTGAAGGGACTGAAGGTGATGGACGTGGCGTGTGGAAGTGGTGATGCTCAGACGCTTTCTGTGACAGAGAACGGTGAGAACAAGAGAGCTTTAGGCCCAAATCTCAATCTCCACACTCAGACGTTGAGGGGCGTTCACGTAAAATTCGTAAGAGATTAAGTTCTGTCCTGATGTCAAAATCATTGAGGTTTTGAGTCTCTCGCAGACCTTTTGAGCCCTTGATGAAAACTTTCTGTAAGTCAGCATTTAGGCAGACTTTGCCTCCGAGAATTACCCACAATTCATAGCAACGTGACTATAAAGTTTACCAGTGGAAACCAGAGACGTAAAGAAACAAAAAGTTAAACGAGAGGACGGCACACGTGAGGAATGAAAGCACACACCTGGTTTATTCATCAAACGTTTGACAATGACCTCTTGCATTTTGTGAGGAACCTGGAAAAGATGTAAAAAATATCAAATGTATACAATATACATAACAACAATGGTACCATTTACCAGCTGACATCAGTTAGTTCAAAGGGATTGTACCTCACTGTTGTGGTTCTCCATCTCTCTGTGTGTGTCCTCAGGTCAGGTTTGGTCCTGGGGGGACGGGGACTACGGTAAACTGGGCCGAGGAGGCAGCGATGGCTGCAAGACACCCAAGCTGGTGGAGAAGCTGCAGGACCTGGACATCGTGAAGGTGTGCTGCGGCAGCCAGTTCTCCGTGGCCCTCACCAAAGACGGGCAGGTATACACCTGGGGGAAGGGAGACAATCAGCGCCTCGGTCACGGCACCGACGAGCATGTTCGATACCCGAAGCTGCTCGACAGTCTAGAGGGTGAGTTGGCTGTTCTAAACAATAACTTATGGTAATAAAGGTAAGTTAATAGGTAATAAGGCCCTTATGCGTCCTTATAAGATGCTTATTTACCATTATTGTGTGTCAAAAGGACGAAGTGTTAATAATAGCATCTTTCTGCATAATAAAGGATTAATCATCGTTAATAAGGCATTGTTCTCCCTTTTATAAAGCCCATAAGGCTTTTATTTTTAACAGTTATATTTTATAATCTAACAATAAATGTTTATGATGCTGCTATTAACACATCACATACTTATGTTAATAAACATGTTATAAGGACCTTATTACCTGTTGACTAACACTTATTACAAGGACCTTAGCATGAATCTTTCAGAATAAGACTGATGTGTGTCTGTTGTGTTTGCGAGCAGGAAAGAAAGTGGTGGACGTGGCGGTGGGCTCGACTCACTGCCTCGCCCTCACAGACGACGGGGAGGTGCACAGCTGGGGAAGCAACGACAAGCTGCAGCACTTTGACACGCTGTTCTCCAACAAGAAGCAGCCCAAGGCTCTGCCCGGACTCAACGCCAAGCACATCGTGGGGATCTCCTGTGGCCCCGGACAGGTGATGCATTACTTTATTATTTTAGTTTTTATATTCTTTTAATGATGGAACCTGAAACAGAAGAAGAACAGAAGATGGAACATTTTAAAAAGGAAAAACAGGATTTCTAGACTAGAATAAATATGAAGACGTGTGTGTGCGACGTGTGTATATTCCTTGTTTTCTTGAACTCGAAACATGTTAACGCTTCCGTGTTTTGTGGTGATTGTCAGAGCTTCGCCTGGTCCTCGTGCTCCGAGTGGTCCGTCGGGCAGCGCGTTCCCTTTGTAGTGGACGTCTGCCCGGTGACCTTTGAGCAGCTGGACCTGCTGCTGCGACAGGTCAGCGAGGGGATGGACGGCAGCTCGGACTGGCCCCCCCCCACAGGAGAAGGAGTGCATGGTGGTCGCCACGCTCAACCTGCTCCGGCTCCAGGTGGACCTCTCTTTTAAGCTTCGTTCATACATCGTAGTGTGAGCCTCTGTACAGAGCATTAGACGAACTGGTCATAATCTGCACATATACATATCTCTAAATCCTCCTCCTCCTTCTCCTCAGCTCCATGCAGCCATCAGTAACCAGGTGGATCCAGAGGAGCTGGGTCTGGGTCTGGGCAGCGTGCTGCTGAACAACCTCAAACAGACGGTGGTGGTTCTAGCGAGCAACGCCGGCGTGCTCAACTCTGTGCAAGCGGCCGCCCAAGCCGTCCTCCAAAGCGGCTGGTCGGTGCTGCTGCCCACCGCCGAGGAGCGGGCGAGGGCGTTGTCCTCCCTCCTGCCTAACGCTGGTGAGTGCTCATCGTCCACTAACACCGGTTTACACACACACTCAACAGTCCATTAACTCTGGCAGGAGGTGAATGAGCGGTTGGGACTGGAGAGGCTGAGGGTTTTATTGGCTTTGTTGTTTTTCTGCCAGCGTCTGGGAATGAGATGAGTGTGAGTCCTGGCCGTCGCTTCATGATCGACCTGCTGGTCAGCAGCTTGATGGCTGACGGAGGGTTGGAATCCGCTCTGAATGCAGCGATCACCGCAGAGATACAGGTCGGTGTGTTTGATGCATCGCTCCACTGTCGCACAATGTATTTGAAGTGAACCTCCGTTGGTTAGCCGATAGCGGTGCTGCTAACGTTACTAGCTCTCCTCCTGTTGGTTTAAACACTGATTGGTTGTTTACAATAGACATTAATGGTTAAAACCTTCTGCAGCCACGTCCCTGAACTCCTCTCACTGAATACTGGTGTTTCTTTTAACACGACAGGACATTGAAGCCAAGAAGGAGGCTCAGAAGGAGAAGGAGGTCGACGAGCAGGAGGCCAACGCGTCCACCTTGCAGCGGTGTCGCGCCATGCTGGACAAAGACCTCATCAACACCGGCATCTACGAGTCAGCGGGGAAGCAAAGTCTGCCTCTGGTGCAGCTTGTGCAGCAGCTGTTGAGGTACTCGATCTTTGTCCGAGTCGAGGTGTCTGCTAGCAGATTAAGACGCCTCTCACACTGAGTCGGTTCATAATGCTGGAGGATAGTAGCTGCAGGGAGAGGACTGTGTATTAAAATACAGACGGAGCAGGTCTTCCTATAGAGTTGAGAGAGAGCAGTAAAGCTTTGTTTGTACTCATGCTTAGCAGCGTAGCCTCAACGGATGGAGCTCTGAGCACGAACAAACATGTTTATCCTCAACATGATGTTTGTTGCAATATTCTCTGAAACTCCAGAACGTGAAGAATCAAAAAGACAACGAGTGAAACCGACTAAACTCCATAAACTAACCTCCACTACAGAGAGGAGGGATTATAATCATCTATAAACTCATATCTCATATTCATGAACTACTTCATCACCTTCATACAAACCCTGTAGAGAAACAAGTCCAGTATTAAATGTGTTCTAAAGAAACTAAGGTTGAATATAAACTATTTGATTTGACTGATAAATATTTACTCTCATGTAGATTTTAACACTTCCTGTTTCTAAAGCTATAAAACTAATTGAATTTAAAACCTTCAGACGTGTAAATAGTGTGTTAATCAGTGAATATTTATGACAGCCGCGTCTGAAGAGCTCTGATCGATTCAGAGATGCACGACGAGGCGCCGCGGCCGTTTGTGGAGCCTCGGTGCGCGACGTGATTACGTCATCTTCAGCTTCACTATGACGAGAATAAACTAAAGTTAATAACTGAACCTTTAAACGAACACTACAGAGACGGCTAAAAGCAAACCAAGCCTGCAACCACAGTGATCATTCTACCTCCTCTCTGGCTCTGTCGTTACATACTTGCTTTTTACTAATCTGCTTCTTTTGTAATGTATTGATGTATTTCATTGTTTTGCATAGTATTATGTTGTACTATAGTGTTGATACATTGTAATAACCTGGGACTACAGACGAGAATTGTGTCTCTTGTGAACTGTGGCACATTTCCATTGAATGGAAACTGAAATGTTGATTAACGGACTGTCCCTGGTAAGTAATAATAAAAACCTTCTAATCTCTGCAGGAACATCGCCTCCCAGACCATCGCGAGGCTGAAGGATGTCGCTCGGCGTATCTCCAACTATCTAGAGGCCGAGCACGTCAGCAAGGAGCGCTCTGCGTCTCTGGACCTGCTGCTGCGCTTCCAGAGGCTGCTGGTCAGCAAGCTGTACCTCGGGGTCAACGGCACGGAGAACGTCAACGGATACAGTGAGTCCACGCAGTCATCCCGATGAGAGGAGATACAAGTCATGAGATCAGAAAATCATACGACTCACGGATCAGATCAGCACAAGAGAACAAACTTAACTTATTTTATTGATCACTGATGATCCATATTAACAGACACAGATCATCTTTGTTGTTTGATTACAGCAGCTGGTCTACAAGGATCCACAAGATTATTATTTTTGTCACCGTCCCAAAAATCATTTCAATGCTCTGAAGTCTGTAAACCATCAAAAATACTAAATGTTTTGTTTTAGTAATTTAAGTTTTTTCTTCATAAAAACACACAATTCAAGATTACAGACGACATGTGAACGTTATAATGTACCTTCAGCCAGTACTCATGTTCACTGAGCAGAGCCTGAAGGCATCATAATGTAACTGAAGTGAACCTCCGTTGGTTAGCCGTTAGCGGTGCTGCTAACGTTACTAGCTCTCCTCCT